GGTAAATACATTATTTCTAATAAATTTATATTAAAATATAATATTTTTTAAAGGAATTTATAAAACTATTATATATATAATATAATTTCATATATTTTTATAATAAAACTATAATTTTATATAATTAAAATTTAAACTTAAAAATTATTACTATATAGTTTAGTCAATGACGAAACTGAAACTGGTTGGTGATGAAACTGAAATTTTTGGTAAAAAGAGTTTAGCTAGGTATCAATAATTTTAATAATTTATATTATTAAAATATATAACTTATTAATTATTATGTTTATAAATTTATTCTTATTAATCTATGTATTATTTAATTTAATAATAATTTATAATTAAAAAAATAATACTTATAATATAATTCATCATTAAAGAGAAGAAAAAAGTAGTCAAAATCTTATATTATATTCTTTACTGAAATCCTAAAATTTCAAACAATATCACTAAGATTATCTTAATAACTTTACTTTGATATTGTAACATTATCAAAATGATATCAAACAATTTCATTACAATATCATCACAATATCACTTATCATTATTATAATATAAATGTAATATTGTAATAATATTGTTTTAATATCTTATAATAAATATTAAAACAAAGTTGTTAAAATAATCTTAACAATATCATTAACAATATCATTATGATATAATTTTGATATTGTTAAGATATTATTTAATATTATTTTGATATTGTATAGTAAAATGATATTATAATGATATTAAAATAATATTAATTTGATATTGAAATAATATCATTTAATATAACAAGATTTTCTGTAAAGTTTAATAAAATTATTATATAATTTATAAATATAATAGTTTAATTAACTATTAAATCTAATAAATAAATAAAAATATTAAACTAAATATAATAATGCTCTGCAGCCTCTATTTTTAATAATATATAATAGAATTAAAATTAAAGTTAAGATTATTGTATTTTAATAATTATTTAATTTTTAAATCAAAGGTTAAATAATAAAATTCTTTTTTAAATAAAATCTGATATTATAAATTTATAATATATATTATTTTTTTTAAAAGAATAAAATTTAAATTAGTAGTTTAAATAATAAATTGTAATTACTATAATGCATTAGTTTTTATAATGTTTTATAATAATATTTATAAAAAAAAAAAACTAAAATTTGTATTTTTAATAAAATTAATATAATCTTGAATATTTTGCAAATTTTAAAAATTTTAATATTATATTCAAAAGTATACAAAATTTTTTAATAAATAAAGAGTTTTAAAATTTTGTAATATATTTAAAAAATATTTAAATATATTATTTGAATAAAAAATAAATTATTTAAATAGTATCTTTTATTTATAATATAAGTATATTTGCTTACTAGTATTTTTGAATTTAAATTATTATATAATAAATTTAATAGGCAATTTCTATTTGTACACAGGGTGTTTAAACACAGGTCATATTAGTAGATTAAAAACGGCATTCAAAACCTCCTTTAATGCCTTAAGTAAACTTGCAGAGCAGGTGAAAATACATATATTTATCTGTAATATAATAAGAATAAAAAGTAAAAGAGTATAATGTCAGTAGCATTCAATTTCAAATTAAAAAACAAAAAATTAGTCTATTAAAAATTATATTTATATAACCCATGTACAAACACCCGTGTAAACTTAGAAATTTTCAATTTAATAAGTACAATAAAAATTGGTATAAATAAAGTTATATTATAACCCTTTATTTATTATTTAATATAAGTGATTGTTTTATTTTTTATAAAAAAATGGGAAAAGTTAAAAAAATAAGCAACATATGACAATAAATAATTAATTTTCTGTAAAATTTACTGTATTACTAATTTATTATTGAAAATTATTTTTCTTTTTTACTTTAGAAAACTTTAGCTACTATTCATATTTCTATCACTAAAGAGCTGGACTATTTTAAGGATAAAAGTACTTTGAAAGCATTAAGAAAGCAACAATTAATTGGATAAATCATCTAAAAGAATTCAAGGTACAGACTAGCTATTCTGAAAAAGTTGAAGAAGTTAATAATTTAAAGAATTTAGAAAAACAACTATCATCTTTTATTATTGAAATAAGAACTAAAGATGGATCTGAATATAAAGCAGCTTCTGTTAGTGCTGCCATTGCCACAATAAAATATCATCTTGATTCAAATTCTGTGTTAGATTTATTGATCTTTATAAATAAAGCTATTGTTTCAAGATTTTGTACTATAGCTGATAGTAAGCTAAAAGCACTTGCTAAAATAGGTAATGCTAAAATTCAAATTTGATGCACTTAAAGATGAAGAAATTTTAATGATTTTAAATCATTATTTAGTAGTTAGTTCTACACCAAAAAGATTAATTCAAAAGTTTTTTATTTACAATGCTGTTATTTTAAGTTTCTGAGATGATGAACATTATAATCTAAAAGTAAATTAGAATAAAAAACGTTTAGATGGAAGATATGATATTATGGTATATAGATTAAAAACTAATCAATATAATTTCAATAATTATAAAAAAGCTGCTAATGTATTGATTATTTCAAATTCTTCAAAAATCATTTATAATTATGACATGTATTTTTCTTAAAGACCTATGGTATAGATCCCAAATTTTATTTACAAAAATTTGCAGAAAATCAAGGTAAAAATGGCTATTTTATTTATTTATTATAAGGGAGCTTACAGATATTACGTAATTATCAAAGAGGGAGAGGGAGTAACCAAAATTTTACGTTACACTTAATAAAATATATAATTTATAAATATTATAATTTGATTGGTTATTAAATCTGACAAGGGGGTGGAGGGAGTAAGTTTATATTAAACTGAATATTACGTAATATATGTAACTCCCCTAATGATTTTTATTATTTTTTCTGATTTTACATTTTTATCAGTTTTAATATCAGGAATTTAGTTTAAAATAAGCCATATTAGTGAAAATAGATTAAAAATATAAATAAAGAAAATTGCAGTATAACAGGTATAGATTTATAAAATAGATAGAATTATTATAAATCATTCTAGATGAAATACTTTAATTCAAAGTCTTTAAAAAAAGATGGAGTTTACTATTTATTGTTGACAATGATTATTACCAATGTCACGTGATTTTTTAATTTTAGCTAAAATTAAATGATCAATCCTTTTTTGAAATATTATATAACACATTTCCCATTTTTTATAAAAAATAAAATTGCCTTTTTTAAATTGTATGACATTACTCAAGTTTTCAAAAAAAAATATTTTGGCCAGAATTATAAAATTTGGCTGGAATTATAAGGTGTAACAAATAAGGGTGATAAATAGAAATTTTTATACTAAAAAAATCCTAAGTTCCTAGAATACATAGTAAAAATAGAAACAAGGAGAGTATGATACAAGATGACAAATTATACATTATTAAAAATTACGTGATATTAGCGATTTATAGCAATTTTAAAAAAAGATAAAAAACGTGCTGCTGATATTATTAAAGTTACTTGACATTCATCTATTGAAAGACTAAAACTATATAAACTTCTAAAGGAAAATACCCAAATAACATTATTAATAGATTTAATTGATTTTATTTACGTACTATCAAAATAAAATAAACAAGAAGGTTATTTTTATTTTATTAACATAGTACTGCTAATTAATCTTATTATTAAATTAACAAATTGTATAGTACTTTTAGACTTTATCATTCCTAGAATTTCAAATTTTTAATATGCTGAAAATACAAATTCAAATAAAGGTAAATTTTTAATATTCTAATTATTTTCTTAAATTCAATATATAATTTAAATTATTTAATAATAGATATGACTTTTAATGGATTTGTTAAAACCTCTATACTTTCAATAAATAAAAGTACTCAAAGAAAACTATTAGAAACAAGTTCTTTAAACTCTTAAGAAGTTACATATTAATTGCAACAAATACAGAATCTAATTAAAGGATCTAGTATTCAAAATATTAATATTAATAATTATAGTAGTTAATTATACACAGTAATATATTCATTAGTATGAACTTAATTTTCATATGATCATATATAGATTATTGTATATTTGCATAAAATAAATGAATAAGATTATAAGATATTTAATATAAACCTATATGGCAAATGATAATTTGTATTACAGTAGCAAATAAAAATTAAGTTACTTACATTAATATATTCTTTAAAATTATTATCAAAATATATTTAAATTAATTGATTAGTAATATAATTTTATTAATAGAATTAATATCATTGTGATAAGTTTAATAATATTTAAATTAATTGATTAATAATGGTAATATAGAATTAATTTATTGTTAACTTATTTTATCGTTTATTTTAATTAGATAATAATGATAATTTAAAAGATGTAAGTAATAGCTATATAAAAAGCCTCAAATTATCATTATTGTTAAGTTATATATAAAAAGCTTTTAGATATTTAAATCTGAATTTTATTATACATATTAATCAATAAATATTTGATTTGTATATTGTATTATAAATCATTAGTAGTGAAATATTTGGCTGTTTTTGCAATTATTAATTAATTAATATATTTTTAGCTTTTAAATTATAACAACTATTTGTTTAAAATATCAAATAATTGACAAATAGTATTATTAAAAAGTAACTTACTTTTTAATAAAATTATTAGATTTAACTAAAAAGAAAATTTATTAATTTTTGATTTAAATACATAATTAATGGAATTTTTGTATTTTTTTTTTTATAAATAATTTTATACAATTGATGATATATATGAATTTTTGCTTTAAAAAAAATTGATTAACTAAAATTATAATTAGTATTCAATTAAATTTATTTAACATAATGGAATCTGATCTAGAAAAATCAAGGTAAAAGAATTTTTTTGACTAAAATTTAAAAGTTATTGTATTTTAATCTAGTCATATCAAAAAATATAATGCAAATGCAAATAAAAATCTCAATTTTTGAAAAAAATTTCTCTAACCTTGATCTTTTTAGGTCCCAATTATTATTTTACTTAAATATAAATATTTACTATTTCATTTATACTAGAGGGAAATTTTTTTTCTTCCAGCTAAAATTAGAATATTCTATTCTATTTGTGATTGATACTAATGTTAAAAAATATTAATTTAAATTATTTAATTTTATTAAAAACAAATCAAAATTTATAATATTTCATATTAGAAAAAATATAACTTACAATAATGTACTTTAGACATAAATTTTATATAATATAGAATAGGAATTTGCATAAAATCCGTCTTGCATATAAGATGAGTCTAACTTTTTTCAGAATGCATGAAAGAATAATTTCGATTAATTTTCTAATAATAATAAAAAAAAAATATTATACATATATCTAATACACAAAGAAACCATAAATTTTCTCGAAAAATAATTTTTTTTGAGGCTTAAAAAGAGGGAACTTTATTACTTTACAAAAGTTTTACCGATTCTTGGAAATTTCAAGATCCAAAAAAAGACAATTAACTTTCTCTAAAAAAAAAAAAAAAAAAAAAAGATTCCTGCTGATTTTTATCAATAATAAATAATAATAGGGAATAGAATATTACATCATAATATACGTTTAAAGAAAAAACAATGATTTTTTGATAAAGTATGATAACTATTAATTAGTTATTAATTAGTTATTAATTAGTATGACGAAACGATTGAATGGTTCTACGTCATAGCCGTCATTGTTTTTTTTAACATTAGCTCATTTTATTGATTATTTCAAGTATAATAATTTCAAACTAAACTTTTTGAATTATGGTAAAACCGTTAAAACATAAAAAAAATCACATTTTCATTGTGATACGAAAAAGGCTTTTTTACCTTTTATAGAAATTTTCTCAAAGGGAAAATGGGAGAACAATGAAATCTTTTTGATTCCGATCCAAGGTTAAAGCCATTTCGCAATGGTAAAATAAATTGGGTTAAAATGGTACGGGAACGAGGAAAAAAAAGATTTAAAAATGCGTCATGTTTATGCATGGACATTAGTTTATTACGAAAATAAGCAAGAACTATTTGAGGAAAAATATGCATCAATGAAAAAAAAAAAAATTACCAGTTATTGTATTTTTGTGGGATCAATTACGCCAATCTATAGAAGGCTTAGGATTTAAAATAAATTTAATTGGATAAAAAAGAAAGAAAAAAAGATTACACAAAAAATAAACAAAGAATATGTTTATTTGTGACCAATTGTACTATGAAAAATTAATAAATTTGGGATGAAATTAACAAAAAAAGATTAGAAGGGATTTTAATATATTGTTTAAATTGAAACCCTTCAAAAGATTAACAGTTATAGATTTTTTTTTCAAGAATAATAAAAATTATCATACAATTTCATACAAATTTTAAGAATTATAAGGTGAAACAGAATGTCTTTCCTTTTAAATCGAAAAATTAAATAAACATATTATTGATTAATTCATTGTTGCAAAATTGGGATGATCCTTTTTATAGAAACATTTAAAGAAAATAATTTTATTGTTTACTTTTTCTGTGAAAGAATACTATCGAAAGAATAAAAGAAATTTCTATTAAGAATTAGTGAAAACTCACAAAGAATAGAAATTTGATGAAAGAGAGGCAGAAATTTCCAGAGGGATTAAGTAAATCCAAATAATTCCACAACAAAAAAACATCATTTACAGAATAATATGAAAATGCCAAGAATAATCATAATAATTTTTCAAGAGTATAAAAAAAAACACGGAGTTATTCTTGTTATGATTAAACCAATTTAGACTAAGTATTAAAATTATTTAACAGTTATAATTGCTTGGAAATTTTCAATTAATCACAACATGTATTTTATTGTGATACAAGTATTTTTTCCTAAATGATCTTTTTTGTAAATACCGGGTATTTTTTTTTTATTTATATTATGCATTACATATAATATATTGTAATTTGGTTATAAAAGCGTCGGATTTTCGGGGTTTAGTTTCGCTTTTCTTCCAAAAATATCAAAAAGACAAAAAAAAAATTAAAAATTTTTTTCTTTCGCCGGTCGAAATAGAAAAATAATTTGGAACTTTTCTTTTATATTTTATTATATTATTTCCAAATTTATTCATCCAACTTTTTATACATAATATTTTTTTTATAAAAACAAAAAATAAAAAATTTATAAAATAACTTTTATAAAAAAAAAAATTTATTTATAAATATATAATAAATGACATCAACTTTACAACCAACTTCGCAAAATATCCACGATACAACAAATTCATCATTCATAACTACGACAATGTCGCATTCTACAGCTTCATCTTCAACTGAAACAATCCCACAAATTGTTTCTCCAATAACAGCACATCAGTTAAACAATGCTATACCACAAAAACTCAAATTTAATAAGATAAGAACATGTTTAGAATTAAAATTAGTTGAACCCGTAATCTTCTTTCGTGGTAAACCTGAAGAAGCTGTTGGATGTGTTTTAAGAGGCGATTTAATTTTAAATTTAGCAAAAGATACAAATATAAGAAAATTAGAGATGAAATTCGTTGGTAAAACAAAAACTCATTGGCGTGAAGGTAATTACAATTTATTATTATAATTTTACTTATTTATTTTATTATCTTTAATTCAAAGTAACTAACCTGTTATTTATTTAGATAAAAAATCCATTTCTGAAGAAAGGGAAATCATCTCTCATACTTGGGAATTTATTAACTCTTCAAAAAAATCAAATCATAATAATACGATAAATCCGTTTCGAATTAAATCACTTACGAATAAATTTTCAAATTCTTCATTAAATTCATCATCTACTTATAATTCATCATCTTCATATAAAACATCTTTATCTTCTGGTTCTCATACTTATCCATTTGAATTGTTTTTACCTGGTTCTTTACCTGAGTCTGCTAAAACAGAATTAGGTACTGTCACATATTATTTAAAAGCTAAAGCTTATAGATCAAGATTATCCCCTAAAATACGTTTATCACAAGAAGTAGAAATTTTACGTACTCTTCCTGATCATATAAATTCTCAAGGAATTGGTTTTTCAAGAGAATTTGATAATTTATTATCTTATGAAATTAATATTCCAAAGAAAGCTTATCCTTTGGGTCAAAAAATTCCTATAGATATGAAAATTTCTCCTTATATTAAAAAATTAAAAGTAACTGGTGTGAGGATACAAGTAATTGAAAAGACAACTTATACTTCATGTGGTCAAAAGGTTACAGATTCTCGTGAAGTTGCAAGACAAAATTTAGAAACATTTGGTAAAAGTAGATTGATGGATGATGAGGAAGATGGTGATATTGGAAATGTTTTTTATCAACAAGCAATGGATTTAACTTTACCAAAATGTCTTCGACCTGTTCATTATTCTTGTACTACTCCTTTGATAAGTGTTGCTCATGATTTAAAATTTAGTTTTTTAATATCTTTACCACGTGATCCTAACGTTCAAAATTCAATAAAACATGCGGAATTAAAGATAAGTGTACCTATAACTATATTATCTTGTAAAGCTATAGAAGATTATGTTACTTTACCAAGTTATGAAGATGATAGTTTTTATTGTCCTTGTCATCCAGAATATTTAAGAATGGCAAGATTGGTTCTAGGAGAGAGTGATGGAAATAGGTTAGAAACTTGTTATAATGGAGGTTATAATCATCATAAATTAAACGTACAAAGATATAATTATAATAGGGCACCTCCAAGTTATGAGGACTCAGTTGTCGAAATATAGGCGTGAAAAAAAAAACATAATTTAAATAGAACATTTTTTTAAACGGACAATATATCAAATTCATTTTATCATTTTACGTTATTTTTATAACCATTTTATTATTTTATTTTAATACTTTTCTTAGCTTTACATATAGATAAGAAATTATTATTTATTGTACATATTTTTATGGTCAGATAAGATATATATATATATATATATATATATCAGATATATATAATTTATATTTATATTTTTATATTTTGTAAAGTTGGATGAGAGAGGTGTTATTATTTGCGATATATATATAATTATATAATTAGGTATAATAATACTTATTATTTTATTGTGAAAGTTTAAATCGAAGGAAAATTATTATTATTATTATTATTTTATCGCTTTATCGCGTACGAAAGTTAATAAATTCTTATTTAAAAATATTTAATCAAATTTTCCAATGTGACAAAATGCGATTGTATTTTCCAATGTGATAAAATTCGAAACCAATGCGATTGTTATTCTTGTTCAAAAATATTTAAAAACCTTTTTATCAAATTTTTCAATGTGATATTCGCGATAAAATCTATTATAATCGATGTAATTAATCCAAAAAGAGATCGAATGGTCTTAAATGAGTATGATCCGATCATGAGGACTGCGGTCCTACATTATTAAAAAGATTTTCGGAGCTTTTTTAGCTTGATACATCGATCTTCTTGTCATATTAACTCATGGGGAAAAAGCAACTTATGTATAACAAAGAACAATCTATACATATTATCATTTTATGCATATTTCGATAACCATATTTGTTTTTGTCCCCCAAATCCAATCCCTAACAGTCTCATAAATTTTTTAGTACTTCCCCTAAGTGTAAAGAATTAAAGTTTATGATCCGGTTTCCTAGATTGATATTTAATTAAAAAAAAAAAAATTATTAGGTATCACCCACCATCTACAAATAAAAATTTACAAAATAAATGCGCTTAAAATAAATGCACTCAAAATAAATGCATTCATTCAATTTAACAAACATTATCATTATTAGTAAATAAATATCATGTGTTTGTGTTACGAATTATTCTTATACAAAGAATTTTAAAATTATCTCTCTCTCTCATTAGTAAGTACTCTAATTAGAAGCCGTCATCCAATACACCTGATATAACTATCAAAAAAAAAAAATCGAAGAGACATGCAGAAATGTTAGGTGTGAAATTCGTCTAACTTTTAATATTCAATTTTTAACTCCGTAACATTTCAACTTATTCACGCGACTTTTCATATTTATATCACACTTCCTAATAATATAAATAAAATGCTCAAAAAGGACGCACAATTTATTAGTGAGTAGTGACCTCTTATGATTTTGCATTCGATAAAATAAGGTAATTCTATATATTTGTAATCATTCTTTTATAATTTGTAACAAGATTGGTTTTAACTCCTGTCTTTTTCGATAAAATGGGTAATCCTATCTATACATTTGTAATCATTCTTTTTTTAAGATAACTGATAATAGCAAACCTGGTAACGAATTAACGTTTATATTCTTTCATGAAAAGATCTCTTCAACTATTAATAATTTCCTTTTTTTGATTGTTATTTTTTTTACTATTTAAAAAATTTCCAAAGTTAGTGCGGGCGTAAATACCGTAAAATATCTGAACTTCTTGAAAATTCTAATGCGATCACCATAACATCATGTGAAACATTTGTGTTTCAGTACTTGCATCTGTAATTGCATAAAATAGAAATATTTTTTTAATGAGCTTTAAAAAAGATATTACTAGTTAATAATCCGGTTGGAACTTATGTTATTAACTTATTAAGGATCTTTGGCGGGTCCTTACATAAGTCATATGAGGAATCCACTTTTTCGTGGGGATTTATGAATGTTGTCACAATGTCACATGTGCAATCGAATCTAGTTGAATTTGGTCAAAAATCTATTACAAATTTTAATTAGAATATTCCCTTGTTCCTTATCAAATATCAAAGTTAAACTTTACCTTTTTTATATTAAAAGAAAAATATATTCGTCTTATCAATAATAAATAATTTTTATCAATACTAAATATCTTTATAGTTTAAACAAAAAGATGATAGTTTTGATCAATATATATATATATATATTTGAAACAAAAAAAAAGGAATGAAAGATATTCATAATTTTAAAAATCCACTTAATCCAAATTTAAACCGAGAATGAAAAGCACATTAAAAAAATAAATAGTAAACTATAAGTATTAATTTGTCAAATAAGGAAGGTATCAACAAATTATCCGCCACAATCGAGTAAATCGGTTATAAAATATTTTATACTTCCGTACATTTTCCAAAAATATCACTTTAATACAATGCATAAAACATAGTGACTTTTAATTGAAAGCGAATGAAAATAATTGATGATATATTGATAATGTTAACACAAGTTGATCATTTCCATATAATTAAATTCCTGACAATATAGATATTTAATCTTAATTTTTGACTTTAATGATGCCACGGGTATTCCGATATACCGATCATTAATAATAATTGCTTTGTGTGCATGACATCATGATAAACTTCCGAGAAATTTTATTTCGTTTGACCTTGAAGTATAAATATGACACCTTTAATTGTTGGGATTTTCTCACAAAAAAATTTTTTCAAAAAAAAAAACAATCTGTGTCACAATTTCATCGTGAATTTTTTTTAAAAAACAATTAATTTATTTATCCTTTGTATCTTAATTAATATATAATACTGATTTATTCATAAAATTTAATAGAATGCCTCCTTTAACATCATCACAATCTGTTACTGCTCTTTCACACACTCTTACAACAAGAACTTCAAGAACTACTTTAAATAATTTTAATACAATAAATTCAATACGTCCAACAACGATGTTTACAACCTCACGACAACAACGACAGCAACAACAACAGCAACAACGACAACAACATCGACAACAACAGACACATCATCATCATCACTCAAATTTCCGTTCACAAGCTTTACTTAAACTTAGTAGTATATTACCTCCTGCTTCAACAAATTTACAAATTAATTTAATTGAACCTATACTTTACTTTAGAGGAGATACTGAAGAATCTGTTGGTTGTTTTCTTAGGGGTAATTTAATATTAAATTTACCTAAACCTACAAAAATTCGTAAAATTGAAATGAAATTTGTTGGTAAAGTGAAAACTTTTTGGCCTGAAGGAAGAAATTATTATGGTAATTATTATTATAATTATTTTAATAAAAAAAAGTTATTAATAGTTATTATAGGTTTCTAAACTTTAAATTACTCTTTCTTTTTAGGATCGGCATCAAATCGAAATGATTCGTGTGAAGAACAAGAAATCATGTCCCATAATTGGTCATTCCTTTCATCTTCTACTTCTTCTTCCTCATCTTCATCTCCATTAAATTCTGGTTCAAACTCCAATCGTTTTAAAATTTTACGTCGTTCTTCAAGTACATCTAAATTTAACTTAATTCCTGCTGGTATACATAAATATCCTTTTGAATTATTTATACCAGGAAATGTTCCCGAAACTATTGATACAGAACGTGGTTTAGTACACTATAAATTAAGTGCTACAGCAATTCGATCAGGATTATCGCCAAATTTACATGTATCACAATATGTACCTATAATTAGAACTATTCTCGAAGAAAGAAACTCTGAAGGAACTGCTATTTCAAGTGATTGGAATAATCAATTAGGTTATGAAATTACTATTCCTAAGAAAGCTTATCCTATTGGTGATTCCATTGATATTGATTTAAAATTGAAACCTAGATCGAAAAATATTAATATTGCTGGAATTAAAATTCAAATGGAAGAAGAATCTGTCTTTAAAACTAAAGGTCAAAAAAGTACTGACTCACGTACTTTATTAGTACATAAAGTTAATAATTTTGCCGAACAAATTTTAATATCCGATAAAAATGTTTCAATTAATAATAATAATATTCAAGAAGGAACTAGTTCTTCAGCTCAAATTATTCAAGACGATGATGAAAATTTATTTTATCATAAAAATATTTTATTACCTATTCCAAAATGTTCAAGTCCTATATATTTTTCATATAAATCTCCTTCAATTAATATTTCACATCATCTTAAAATCATTTTTACAATAAAATCCGATAACAATGAAGATGGTAAAAAGAAGAAAAAGAAATATGATATTAAAGTGGATATTCCTATTACATTACTTTCTTGTAGATGTGCAGAAGATTTACCTCAATATGAAGATGGTAATTATTTTAATAATCGTTATTATTCTTTTTTTTTTTTAAAAAAAAAAAATCAATAATAATTTTAATATATAAAATATTTTTTTATTTTCCCTAAAAAAAATTAGATTCACCTTCATATGAATCTCCCCCATCATACGAACAATCAACAAATGACGGAAGGCAATCACAACAATATGATGTTCGACACAATAGTACTAACACAATTACAACAATTACGAATCAAATGAATGAATTATATCATCCTCCATTGGAACGATTATTAACACTTTAATTTTTAATTTGTATTTTGTACATAAAGAATTTTGTATATAATAGATCCATTAAAAAAAAAAATTCAAAAATCATCTATTAATATAAATTACGATTAGTAATGGGTAAAATTCTCATGTTGCTATAGTTTAACCTGGATAAACTGCTTACCAACTTGTTTATGTAAACGACTACCCGACTCTCCTGGTTGTATATTAACCAAACCCGAATGAAAATCTTTTCCTTTTTGAGTTATCAAGGTTCTTGGCATATTTTTTTGAGCCATACTTTTTATAGTAAAACCATTTTTTGTTTTTAAACCTTTTCACTAAAGTATTTAGAACATAACAGTCTTTAGAACATTATTTCATGTTATATTATACAGAATTTAAACCTTAAATGTTTCTTTTATGAAGAAAACTGACAATATCCATGACTAACTACTTCAGATATTATTGAAAATAAAACTAATAAAGAAAATGTAAAAGCTTTTCATATCTCAGTTGCAAAACCAAGTAGGCTGAAACAACCTATACTATAACTTTATCAAAGAATGTCTAAGATCCATTCAAATGAAAATATAATTACTGTAAAAGAAGTAGAACCTGTAAAATATTATTTAGAAATACTAGTATTTTATATAATAATAAAAACTGTCATATTTAATTACCTGTATAAATACTGTAAATCTTGAATTGTATAATTTTACTTTTTTTATATATACTGAAAATTTGAAAAGACTTTATTAAAAAAATAATTTATTGAAGCAAATTATTATAATAATTAAAATATTTAGAGTAGTAATATATATATTTTTTATTATTTAAAGTATATCAAATTGGAGTTTCATTTCATATAAAGTAATAATATATATTAATTAATATGTTAATAAAATAAAAGTATATAAATTATAGAATTTTTCTAACTATCACCAGGGGTTATGATCACTGGTAACTGAAATTATGATGATCGACCAGCATTAAAAAAATATAGTGCCAGTAAAAATTGATAATTCCAGCCAACGGTAATGATCACTCCTGGAAAAATCTAAATTATATACTTATAAAGAACAAATTATATATAATTATCAAATATTTTAATTATCTAAAATAAATATTTATAATAAAATACTAACTTTTTAATAAAATACTAAAAATTATTAATTACAAATTACTATTTTTTAAAAGTAATTTTAAAGTTTAATAAATATAAAAGTATTTTATAACTAAAATATTTACTAATTAAAATAACAAATTAAATTAAATTAATATTCTTTTTATAAAATCCAAATATATAATATATAAGTTATAATGGATTTTTAGTTAAAATTAAAATCATTTTTTTTTTTAATATTCAGTAAACTTTACAAAATATCAAAATTAAATATTGAATATTAAGAAAATCATACAATTCTAATTTTTAACTTTTAAACATAAACTAATTTGCTAAAGTATGACTTATAACTTGATTTGTAAATATTTGAAATTTTTTTATTATCTATAAATTTGAAAAAAATTAAATAAATATAAGTGGGATACCATATAAGATATAATTATATCTCATGTGGTATCCCACTTATTCTAGATTATAGTATCATATATAATCTAAATATCACATATAATCTGGGATATCACATATAATCTGGATATCACATATGATCTAAATATCACATATAATCTGGATATCTCATATGATCTAAATAATGTAATCTAATTACCACATATGATCTAAAATGATGTGATCTAATTGTCATATATAATCTAACATTTTATTATTTCTTATATCGCTTTTACATTCTAGCTATGTCTTTGAGTCTTTCTTAGTATTCGTGTTTTTATGTTAATATACTTTTTATTACCACAATGTAATCTAAATACCACACACATATAATCTAAATACCACGGTTTTCTTCTTGTTTCTGAGTCATTTGCATGCTAAATTTTATAATGCTATTGTCAACCTTCTGTAGCTGTTTAGATACCTGGTTTTTTGTCGAGGTGTTGACCTTCTGCGCCTGATTGAATGTCAAATTCTATATTAAAGTACTTACCTTTTTGCGTCTATTTGGTTGCCTTTCTAGATACCGAAATAGTGTAAAAAAAGGTGTCAGGTGGCGCAGTAATTCGATCTAGATCTGCGATTAATTCTGGCTGACATTATGCCATAATTTTGGCTGATCTTTTGGACATGTGATTCGAGGATCTAGCTTGGTATCATGATGGTGACTTGATAGTGTTCTGGAACTTCTGTGAAGCTGTCGTGGAACTAGTGAGGAACCATCATGGAAGTGTTATGGAATGCCAGCTTGGATGCCGAATTATTATGTCCAAAGTTCTGGCCGAAATTGTGGAATAGTATTAGCCGAAATTATTGTTATTATTCTGTGCCTTCAGTTCTGGGCACTTCCGAGGTCCGATCATGGTTCAAACTGGGTCGAGACAGTATGTATGCTAATTTTTTGAGCGTCCCTAGTGTCCCTAGCGAAAATTTTCTGAGGACACTTTCTAGGGACAACTATGATATCGATTTTGGGGGTTTTAAGTTTACTGATTATGTTCTTCTATGCTTATCCCTAGTGTCCCTAGTGTCCTTAGTAAAAGTAAAGTTATAGGAAAAAAAATTCGAAACTTATCCTATGCTATATATGTATGCTATATGGGTGGTATATGGATACTATATGGATGATATGTGTAATATACATATGCTAAAAAATAAAAAAAAGTTTAGAAGTTTCGATTTTTCATAGGGACATCAGGAAATTTTATAGCGCGAAAAATTGCGTAAGTTTACGATTTTGTAAGTTTACGAAAGTTTATGGCATAATATTTCGAAAAATTTCAAAATATTTTTTAAGTTTACAATTTTGTAATATTTATGTGATATTACGGTTAAAATATTACGTAAGTTTTCAATATCGTAAGATTTATG